TTGAGACAGAGTCTTGTTCCGTCACCAGGAGCCAGGCTGGAGTTCAGTGGCGCGATCTCGGCTCACTGCAACTTCTGCCTCCCGAGTAGCTAGGACTACAGGTGTGCGCCACCAAGCCCAGCTCATTTTTGTATTTTTAGTACAGACGGGGTTTCACCATGTTGGCCAGGATGGTCTTGATCTCTTGACCTCATGATCCACCTGCCTCGGCCCCCCAAAGTCCTGGGATTACAGGCATGAGCCACTGTGTCCTGCCTAATTTTTGTATTTTTAATTGAAATAGGATTTCACCATGTTGGCCAGTGGGGCTCAAACTCCTGACCTCAGGTGATCCGTCCACCTCAGTCTCCCAAAGTGCTGAGATTACAAGTGTGAGCCCCTGGCCTGATTCAAACTATTTTACATGGTTTCACTTGAAGTCAGTTTCCAAGACCCTATCAAGGACTTAAATGTGGACTTACTGTACTGCTTTGCAGGGTAAATAAAGGTGGAGTTGGTGATTACAGCAATATTGGCAACCCCTGCCCCTCAGTGATGCAAGAGCTGAGGCTGATTAGGAGCAGTTCTGATGCTTAAATGGATTTATTCCTTCTCACAACTACTCTGTGAGACCAGTGCTAGTGTGAACCCTATTTGACAGACGGGAAAACTGAGGCCCAGGGAGCTGTCACCTGCCCAAGGTCACATGGAGGGTAGGGGCAGCAGTGGGACTTGAATCTGCTGCCCTAGTTCCCAGAGCGTGCATGCACTGGTCATGCTAACTGCTTCTTCAAGCTCACTGTCAGCTGGGTGCGGTGGCTCACACCTGTAATCCCAACACTTTGGGAGGCCGAGGCAGACACAATCAGTAGTTTGAGACCAGCCTGGCCAACATAGTGAAATCCCATCTCTACCAAAAATACAAAAACTAGCCTGGCGTGGTGGCAGGTGCCTAGAATCCCAGCTACTTGGGAGGCTGAGGAAGGAGAATCAGTTGAACCTGGGAGGCAGAGGCTGCAGTGAGCCAAGATTGTGCTGCTGCACTCCAGCCTTGGTGACAGAGCAAGACTCCATCTCAAAAAAAAAAAAAAAAAAAAAAAAGAATATCACTGTCTCTCAGGACCAGAAGGGGTGACCTGTGAATTCTGGGTGATGAAGGGGACCCAGACTGGTGCTTTACCTGCCTGGCCTCCTTGACCCTCAAAAGCCAGCCTGGGGAAGGAAGGGATTATCATCCCCATTTACAAAGGAAGAAACTGAGGCACAAAGCATGAAGTGATTTACCCAGAGTCACCGAGAGCCTAGATTCAAACACAGATCCAAGTTCAGGCCCGAATGTTTCATGTATGGGAAGAAGGCTGTCCTACCACAGTTTGGAGATATGACTCGTCCAGCTCCATTCCCGGGACAGAGGGCTGGGGGTGCAGCAGGCTTCAGGGAGGCTCCCCAGCATTCCAGAGGCCAGGCTTAATGATGTGTGTCCCCAGGTCCTTTCAGCTGAACAGACCCTGTGAACTCTACAGCCAGGAGCCTGGATCCGTGGGAGGGTGGTGTGGGTTCAGGCCCAGCCCGAGGTGGGTGCATGAGAGGGCTGGGTAAGGCTTGGCCTGGGGCCCTGCCTTAAAGGGCCAGCCCCCACAGCCCACTTAAAGGCCGGAAACCAGAGATGGAAACAGGACTTTACCTTGTTTCTGGGTCAAAGAGGTGATGAGAACAGAAGAGGATAAAGAAGTTCATGGCCAGCGTCACGTGTTATGCACCTGCTGTATGCCAGCCTCACTCCCACTGTTACCAGAGTCCTCTATAGAGGAGGCAGTGAGGCTCAGCCCAGGGCCACGCCGCAGGTATGCAGCAGAGGCAGGACTGAAACCCTCGTTGGACAACCCAAAGCTGCGTTCCTCCTCTGAAGGCCACTCTCCACCGTGAGCTGAAGTCCTGGCTCTTACCCACCCTGTCCACTGTGCCTGAGCCCTAATAAAACCAGGGAGTTCAGAGGTCAACACCGGGGTGGTGGAGAAGACTTACCACTCTGCCACTCCACCATGTATGGCCGTGGGCGAGGGCCTGCAGGCCTCTCAGCCTTGGCGTTCCAGCCGGGACAATGGAGCGCCAGGACCTGCATAGGGAAGCTGCTGTGAGGACGAACGAGGACCAGGCATGCAGACAGTAGCACGGGCCTCGCCCTGCAGGGGCCTCTGCAATCCTCTCGTTGACGTCAGGCCTGGCACATGGCACAAGCTCACCACAGCCACCCTCACAAGGAGGCTGCCGGGGGGGGGGAGAGGAAGGGGCTGGGGCCATGGTTTGCTTGCCAGGGGGCGCCAGGCTCCTTAAAGTCCTTCCTGGGCCTCACCTTCCCCATCCACAAATCAATGACGCCGATAGCCAGCACTAAGCCAGAGTGAGCAGGCCTCTTCGAAGGACACCTCCCTTCTCATCCACCCCCGCACGCCTGGTCCAGCTGCAGCGCCGAGGCTGGGTCTCTGCACGTGGAACGGGCAGGTGGAACAGGTGGTCTCTAGGGCCTTAGTAGCTCCAGCTGCATGTGCCAATCCATGATGCATTTCTCAGCCGCCTGCTCTGTTTTATGATGATTTTTAAATTCACTTTGTACTTTGAAAATTCAGGCTGAAAGCCAATCACCTTTCAGAAAGCCCAGTATATGTTTTCCAGCTGAACAGCATGTCAAGGTCAGGACGTGGGAGTGCTTATCTCTGCAGGCTCTAGCCTGAGTAGACAGCCATGTACCCACAGGTGCCACACTTCCCTCCACCAGGCCCTGCCACCACCACTGAGGGCCTGTGGGACTGCCTTTCCCCTCCAGGTCCCTGTCTCATCTGGACAACAGGGGTGCTGAGGCCTGGCTCTCCCAGGGCTGCTGGTAAGGGTGTGAGCTGGGGAAGGGCATGGAGTCCAGGCGGCATACAGGATGCCATGCTCACCAAGACACTCTTTGCCAGAGGGCCTGGCCATGGGGAAGGGGCACTAGTGTTGGAGTCGGATGGATGTGGGTGCATTCGCTGGCTTTGCATTGCCCAACTGTGCAGTCTTGGGCAAGCCTTTTCACCTGAGTTTCTGTTTCCCATCAGTAACAAGGTGGTGGTGATGACGGTGATTATGAGTAGCTCGGTTGAGTGCTTACCCTTGTTGAGTGCTTAGCCCTTTACAAACATTCGCTCATTTCTCTAACACTTAGGAGGTAGGTACTATCATCCCCATTTTGCAGATGAGTAAACTAAGGAACACAGCTAGCGAGGGGATGAGGCAGGACTCAGAGCCAGGCTAGAGGGACTGGAGCCCACACAGCCACTCAGTGGGCCTCCCTAGCAATCATGTGACACTCCCAGGGTGGTGCAGAGCCTCCCACATTGGCCCTGGGCCTAAGCAGGGTGTCCCCAGCCAGTGTTGGCTGAGCTGAATGAAACCAACTCAAGGGCAGGCTGCCCTGGAGGAGTTCCTGGCCCTAAACCTCAAACGTCTGGCTGAGGAGCCAGGGAGTCATCATAAAAGTCTTCCTTTAGGTCTGCCTGGGAGTCCTGCTAGGCAGGGAGGGGCCCCATGCCAGCATCCGCCTTTGTTTATGCCTTTGTTTATGCCTGAGCCAGCAGGGTGGAGACATTCATGCCTGCCTCTGTCCCCATGCTGCGGCCTTACTAGCCTAGCCTGGAGGAGTGGGTCCTGGGCAGGGGGCCAGGTTACAACCAGGCACTGCTGCTTCCTGCTGGAACCTCCCTGTGTCCACCCGGTAGAGAATAGAGCTGTGACCCCCAAGATGAAATCCCTCTTCCCAAGCCTCAGCTGGCTCACTGGCCAGGCATGGTGCAAGGTCATGCCTCCCAAGGTCTCCCCGGATCATGAGTCTGATGGCCAGTCATCCCCAGCCTGTCCCTGCACTTACCCAGGGCTGCTGTGCCACTTCAGCCACTTCATGAAGCTGACCTGGTCTGGGACAGCCTGGGATGTAACTGTGTGTAATTTATACACAGCAAAATTCACAGATTCTGCAAACATGTCCAAACACCACCGAGCCTCAATTCTTCCGCCTCACGTATAGGACACTCCTCAGCCTTACTCTGACAGTTACCGGGAGCAGCAGAAAGCTACCTGGTGTCCTGAGCGCCTTCCAGATACTGAGGTTCTTTTTCCAGGACAACCTCTTCCACAAGCATCTTTAAGGATGAAGCAGCTCACAAGTTCTGGAGCTGCGGCCTGGGCCCTAGTCCTCACTCCTCCACTTAGGGGCTACGGCACTCAGCAAGTAACTAACCCCTTTCCTGCCTCCACTTCTGCATCTGTGAAGTAGGCATGGAAACGTTCGAACCTTGAAGTGCCATGAGGTTCCATATGCAATTCCTAACCACAGCCTGAATAGTTCCTGGCCCTTATTACCCCCTGGTCAGCGTCGGCCTTCATCGGTCTCCTCATACCCAGCACAGGAGTGCCAAGCTGGACGCCTGCCCGCCGCCCCTATGTCCTTATCCCTAGCACCCTTTCTGACCCTTAGGAGGCCACCCTGCCCCCCACCCAGGCTGTGCCACTGATACTGAGGATGCTCTGGTCACTCTGCCCGGCCAAGGTTCTGCCTCCCCCACTGCCTGGACACCCCACCTTCCACCCGAGTATGCAAGTGTTCCAAAAGCACCCCAGGCCTAGAAGACACCCCTTCCACCTGCTGCCCTGCCAGGACCTCCTCCCGCTGTGCAGAGCCACCATTATAGCCCAGCTGTCCCTGCCCACTCATTCCCAGGTTGTCCCAAACCCCCACCCAGTGACCTTTACCCCCCAGGGACTCTAGACCCTTCTCTGTCCAGAGAGTATCTCCCCCACGCCACCCCCCTGCCAAGTGTGAGGCAGCTGAGAACTTTTACTTTGGAATCTGGCAGAGCTGGATGCAAGCTGGCTCTACCACTGTTGAGATCTGCTGAGAGGTACAGCCTGGGGCAAATTTCTCACCCCTGCCAAGCCTCAGTTTCCTCATCTGTGAAATGGGAATCATTATCAACTCCACAGGACTCAGAGGATGGAATCACACACTAGCATTTATTGAGCAGCTACCCATGTCAGGCCTTGTGCTACAAGAACTTTCCATCTTCATTTCCTTTCACCCCTAGTAGGTGGGGATTCTTCACCTCCAGCACACACAGCAGCCTGGGTCAATCAAGCCTCTAGGCTCTCTAGCAACAGCTCAGCAGTGACAAACCATGTCTGTGGCTGAGCCCCAGAAGTTGCTGGCCTGCATTGGGTGTGAACAGATGTTAGGTGCCTCGAGTTGGCGACAGAGACCAACGGCAAGGGTAGGGGTCTCGGAGTGCATTGTTAGAGCCTCAGGAGGCCGGCACTGTTGACAATTTGTGATCTTGGAACCCTCCCCCTGCAGCAGAGGGAGAATGAGGGAGGCTGGGAGACAGTGGAAGCCCCCCCACTGTAATGAACACAAGTCCTGTAGGGGGCTGATGGAGCAGGGACACCTCCACGGACCCACTTTCCCTCCCCAGCCCTGATTTGGTCAGGGCCACAGCCACTGGCTAGCAGGGGTGGATGCTCCCAGCATACTTCCTGGAGGGCCCTGAATATCCCCATCAGAGTAGGGCTGGGGAACAGGCCAGAGGCCCGGCCCACCTGGGGGCCCTGGGCACAGAGAGGGATCGGGGCCCGGGCACTTTGGTGGGGCCAATGGAGGCCACAGCCCCACCCAGGGCCCTGCCCTGGCCACCTATGCTCACAACCCCCAGGCCGGGATAGAGATCCTCGCTGCCCTCTCCCCAGGAAGAGGAAGCCCTGCCCCTCCTCACCAGTGCCTGGGTCCCTCCCAGACCTGGCTTAACCACCAGCCTGCATCCCTGATTTCCACCTGTGAGCCTGGCCTGCCCATGTCCCCCACCCTTCTTCTGCCCCCTCCCCACCTGGGTCAGCAGCCCCCTGGAGGTTCCAGGACTGAGGCCTGTCCCTGAGCTAAGAATTCCTCCCCAAAAACCTGCCCCTTGCACTGAACAGGACAGATTGCTGCCAAAGCAGGGATCTGGGGGCCACAGGTCTTCCCCACCTTCACCCCCACAGAAGGGCCTGGGAAGGCAAGTCCAGACCTTGCTTTATTGAGGGTGAACCCCACCTGTACCCACTCCTGACCACCCCTCACATCCAGGCCCACCTGGAGACCTAGCCCCAGCACCTCCCAGGCCATCCACACTAGCGCCCACGGCTCTTCAGCTCTGGGGCAAAGAGGACAGCAAATCCCATGACCAAGGGTAGGGAGGGAGGCCCAGTCAGGATGGAGGTGGAAGCTTCCTCACTCTGACCTGGGTCTGCCATTCTCCAGAACACCCCAAACCCAGGGCCCTCGCTGTGCCTAGGATCTCGCTGGTCCTCCCTGATTCTCAGTGAACTGTCTGCCTCCCTGGACCCATGGGCCTGTGACTCCATGTGGGTCCCCCTGGGACACAGGCTCCGCCTTCTGCCCCCACCCATAGAGTCCTCGAGCCCCTCTGGCATCCAGTGGGGAAAAGTGGAGGAAGGGCCAGCTCCAGGCCCCAGCCAGGGATGGCCCTGCCCCTCCATGCTCGCTGAAGGCTGCCTCCACCACCCCGAGAGGTTAGAAACAAAAAGCACTAAGGGGCGGATAGGCAGGGCCAAGTGACAGGCAGGGCAGCGAGGGTCAGGGCACTGCAGGGGGAAGCAGCGGTGTGTCTGAGTTCTGTGCCGAGATGCTGGGTGACTCAGGCCCAATGAGCCCCAGGCCAAACAAATTAAGGATGGAGTCAGCAATGATGCGGGCTGTGCGCTTCTGGTACCCGCCTGAGGTCACCATGAGGATGGGCACCTGGCGGCCACGGACCATCCGGAACACCAGTTCATCCCGCTTCACGATGCCCTATTGGGGGAAGAAGAGGGTGACTCAGGCAGGCCAGATCCCCATGGTGTCAGGAAGTCCTGCTGCAGGGCTAGCCTTGCTCCAGACTGCTATTGCTTCAGCCCATCTCCTCCCTGATATGAGGCTGCCCAACCTTTCCTGCTGCTGCTGAGTCCACAGAGCAGACCCTCCCTGTGGCCCCCAGGGTCAGGACATACCGCTGGGCTGATGGACAGTCCCCCAAGGCGGTCCCCCTCAAGGATGTCAGTGCCTGCGTTGTATACCACCACGTCCGGCAGGTGCTCCTGGAGGGCCTTCTCAATGTTCCTCTCCACCTTAACCAGGTACTCATCATCCTCCGTGCCCCACTCCAGCTCCACCTTCCGCCTGATGGCCTCTGGGAGGGAGACATGGATAGCCTCAATTTGCAGAGAAGGGAAACTGAGGCTCAGCACAAGACTGTGGACACGAGGCAAGACTGGAAACTGGTCTGTTAGATTCCGGCACTGCTTGACCTCATGCCATCCAAAACTAAGCTAAAAAGGGCAGCGAGAGGTACAAAAAGGGGACTCAAAGGAGAGGAGGGGCACTGGGGCCGAAACACTGCCCTGGGGATGTGGAGATCCGTGTCAGCAACGTCGGATTTCACTGCCTCCACCAGGCCTTGCCTACACATGTGGACCCCCTGCGCTGCCCTCAAGCGTAGGCTCAGCACCTGTGAGGTTCCATTCAGAAACTGGTCCCTTGGGCCATACCAGCTGCTGACTTATCCACACCAGACTCACCACAACTGGTGCAAAAATGTTCCCTACCTGCCAAGGTGGGAGCCCTGTTTTCAAATCTCATCGGAGAGTCTGCCTTTTGACTGATAAGTTTAATGCACTTTCATTTTAACTATTATGCGTGAATTTCTTATTTTGTATTTTCAAATTTATTCAATTTTTTCTTTTATTTCTTTCATCCTCTCCTGTTTTCTTGCCAGGCAGATGCACGTTTTTTGGACAGGGTTATGTGATCTTGGGTGGGTTGAGTGACTTCTCTAGGGCTCAGTTTCCTCATCTGTAAAATGGAAAGGATCCCTCACAGGGATGCAATGAACCACTGTAGTGGCTTCTGCAGGGCCCAGCAGGCAGGAGATACGCAGGACAGCGCCTCATCCACAAGGACACACTCAGGACAAGGGGAGGGGTGGCAGCTTACGCTTGGCAAAGCGGTCCCCGGGGTAGATGTGGCGGTTGTAGACATCCATGATGTACACGCGTTTGTCGTCCATGAAGTCTCGCTCGTGCCCATTGCCCTGTGGGGAAGTCACAGTAGCCACTCTTGGGCAGGTGCCCTAGGCAAGATGGGGGCTCTGCCACCCTGCCTCAGGAAATTCCCCATGTGCCAGGGCAGTAGGGCCTGCTCTCAGGGGCAGCGGGTCTCATGGCTGTTAAGGGGCAGAGCTGGGATTCAACCTCAAAACCAGGCCCCAGAACCTTCTAGCACGAGCTTGAGCAAGCCTAGCCCTCTTAGGTTCCCTATCAGAGGAAGAAATCCCGCTCTGCCGCCCTCTCAAGTCTGTGGTGGAACTGGTTGGGATCAGGAATGTGAAAAGCAAACTGTAAAGGACTGTGCACATGTGACTCAGGAGCTCAGCGTCACGTGAACCCAAGGCAGGGCCCCAACTACCACAAAGCCACAGCAGTAGCAGTGTGGGGGGGTGCACCAGGTCCCTTCCCCATCTGACCAGAGGCACTGGCCTTGTTAGGGGTCCTGAGGAGGAGGTAACCCTCTGCTTTGATGCTTTACTCCCTAGGTGCTGAGTCCTTAAATGGGAACCCCAGGTGCCCTAGCCACCCTGAAGCCATATGTGTGGCCATCTGCCCGAGAGGCAGGTCCCAGTGCTCAGCAGGTCTAGGCAGGGGGCAGTGCCCCAAATCATTGATAAGCAATGCGGAGCCGCAGCAGAGCTCTGCGTATGAGAGCAGTCCCATCAAGGTAGGCTTCAGGAAGAACCTCGTGCAGCAGTCAGGAGGCGGGAGGGAGGACCCTCAGGAGCAAGGAGGACTCACTGTCCTGGACACAGCAACAAAGACAGACTGTCCATTTGTAACCCAAGAGACAGAAGACAGAAGCTGTGAGAGCTGTGGGGACATGAGGAGGGAGACTCTCCTTCCCCGGGGAGATTCTGGAACTAGGGGCATCAGGTCCCCCAAGAGTCCAGCCCCTGCAGGGCACTCACCTGATGGGCATCAAGATCAATGATGGTAGCCCTGGAGATGCCCTCCACACGCTCAAACAGAAACTGCCAGGGAGGAGAGGGTAGACATGAGGACCTGGGCAGGCCAGAGGACCCAGCCCTACAGCAACTCCCAGCTGGCTGGTAAGGAGCAGGGCAGGGGGCATAATGCTTATAGGTAATCAGGCCACCCAGCAAAGATGTCACTTGTCAGGGAGAGCTGTGCAGCTCCAGCTGTGGGGCTCCATGTGTGCATGCAGGAGATGGTCACGGAAGGCTCCCTGGAGGAGGTGGCATGTCCTGTGCCCTGAAGGGTCATAGGTCAGGAGGCAAGTGAGTCACTCAGGCCCTGGATTTTCCCAGATCCCCTAGGAAATGTGTGGGGGTTAAGGAGATAATCCCCACGGCCCTGGGACTTCATCTAACCTCTCCCTTATCCTACAAGGCCAAGTCCTAAATGCCCCCTCTTCCAGGAAGCCTTCATTCCCTACCCCTCTTCCCCAGGAAGGTCTCCTGTGCTTCCCCTTTCTCCTAACGGCCTGCCTTCCCCATTAGTCTATGTGCACTGTGAGAGCAGGGACACATGGGAACAGGTCAGTCTGTTCCTGATGCCCAGCATGAGGCCAGGCACAGAGTGGAGGGGGAGCTGCAGGGCCCCACGGACCAGAAGCCAGAGCCAGCTCTGCCCCTGCTAGCTGCATGCCCTCACCTCTGTGGGCCCCAGCCTGCACGTCTGCAAGGATTCAGGGAGTGAGTCCTGGAGCACAGCGCGGGTTGAAGCATGCAGAAGTGCCCGCTGCTATCAGCACCATCGCTCTCCACTCCCACTCCCTTTGCAGCCATGCCCTTCTTCCTACAACTTCATATGTGGCTATGCAGCAGACCCTGGCCCTCTCTAGTCCCCTGGCTCTGTGGGAGGCTGGAATAACTCCCTTCCACCACAAGCAACCCTTCTAAGCACCATGGAAGAGGAGCAAGTGTCAGATCTGGATTCTGTTCCAGCCTGGCTGAGCAACCCAGACTAGCCCCCTCCCTGCTCCAGCAGAGGCCCCTTGTCTATAATTCAAGGTGAGAACAGTTAATTTGGAGCTGTGGGGAGGATACCAGGGGGGCTCTTGGAGGCGAGACCCCACATGCTCATAGACACACCTTGATGGCGAGCGTGATGTCCGCATAGGCACAGAAGCCCCCACCTCGGTCACTGGAGCAATGGTGGAAGCCACCCCCTGCAAAGGGCAGAGAGCAGTACTGCTCAGAGCCTGGCTCCCAGGCTTAGTCCAGGAGTTCCTCCATCCCTTCACCTCCCCCAGCATCCTCCCTGCTCAGCATCAGGGACCGGTGCCTCAGACTCTGGGTTGGCAAACTGAACTGAGTGCCAGGACATGTCACCATCCTGAGGACAGAAGGCAGCCATCTCTTCATGGTGTCCCCAGCAAGTCCCCAGTGCCCACTCATACCCCCAAGTGACAGGGAGCTCATCATTCCCGAGGCAGAAAGCTGCTCCTTGTCCCCACCAAGCTGGGCCTGCCTCCATGTGTGGCCCCCCACACCAGTAAAGAGTGGTGGTATGGGGTCTGTGCAGATTCTGCCAGTGGCCAAAGGGGATGGTCAGGAAGGGCACCCTCTGCTGGTCATGACTGCCCACAGCCACGAGGAGGGCCCTAGAGCCCGGGATCCATCACCCTTCAACCCTGAGAGAGCCTCAGAGCCCCAGGGCCCAGAGACCCCTTCCCCTGCAGCCCCTGGGATGGCCTGAGTTGCAGGGGCCCTCTGAAATGGAGCCCAACAACTGCCCCGTCACACAGTGTGCAGCTGGCCCCATGGAACCAGGAACTTGCCCCTCACACCCCCTAGGAGGCTACTGTTGGCTCGTAATGATGAATGACAATCACAGTGAACACCTGACTGGGCACTGAGCTGGGCACTAGTCTCACCATCCACATTTTACAGATAAGGAGACTGAGGCACAGAGGTCAGCAACTTGCCCAGGGTCACACAGTCAAGTAACAGCAGAACCAGGATCAAACCTAGGGTGGATCAGGACCCAGGCTCTTAACCTCTACCAGGCAGTAACACCTGCCATGGGGAGGGCCATCCGGGCCTCCTCAGAACCCCGCTGTGGACATGCAGGGCACAAATTACTCCTGGGTTTGTGCAGCAGAGTACCGTAACATCATCACTATGCCAGGCTGAATGCCGGGCATCTGGTGACACCAAAATGGAAGAGACCCAGCCCCTGCAGAGTGAGGCTCCCCCTAACTCTGGAGTGGCCCAGGGTGGCCACTCCCTTGCAGAGCTCACAGCCAAAGGCTGGGGGACCCTGCCTTGGGGCTCTGCACAAGCCACTAGGCATCTCCCCATGTCCATTTCCTCATCAGTGAGACAGGCCTGACAATTATGCCCAGCTCAAATAAGAATCTGGGTGAAGGCCAGGAGCAGTGGCTCATGCCTGTAATCCCAGCACTTTGGGAGGCCAAAGTGGGCAGATCACCTGAGGTCAGGAATTTGAGATCAGCCTAACCAACATGGAGAAACCTTGTCTCTACCAAAAATACAAAATTAGCTGGGCATGATGGTGCATGCCTGTCATCCCAGCTACTCCAGGAGGCAGAGGCAGGAGAATCGCTTGAACCCGGGAGGCGGAGGTTGAAGTGAGCCAAAATTGTGCTATTGCACTCCAGCCTGGGCAACAAGAGCAGAACTCCATCTCAAGGAAAAAAAAAAAAAAAAATGGAGGCCGAGGCGGGTGGATCACAAGGAGGTCAAGAGATCGAATCCATCCTGGCCAACATGGTGAAACCCTGCCTCTACTAAAAATACAAAAATTAGCTGGGCGTGGTGGCACGTGCCTGTAGTCCCAGCTACTCAGGAGGCTGAGGGAGGAGAATCACTTGAACCCAGGAGGTGGAGGTTGTAGTGAGCTGAGATCACACCATTGCACTCCAGCCTGGTGACAGAGTGAGACTCCATCTCAAAAAAAAAAAAGGGTGTGAGTGAAAAAGAGCTTTGCAAACTGTCATGAGCTGTGCCTCCAGGAGGAACAATGACAGGGACAAGGGAGACCTGTGTGCAGCCCTCCCATGAGCCATTCTTGTGGGAGAGTCAAAGGGGCTGGGGAGCACAGGCCCTCCAGACCCTTGAGAAGGTGGTGGTATTGATCCAGGGTGTGTCTACCCAACCCAACATGACCCAGCTTCTATGGTCTGTCCTGGGCCCCAGGACGCAGGTGGAGTCCTTCAGGGAAGCCACAAGGCAGACTTCACACCATGCAGAGCTGCCCAAGGATGGCACAGGCTCTCTGGAAGGGAGGAAGCTCCCTACCATTGGAAGTGTACAAAGGCGGGGTGGGGAGCCACTTGGGGACCTCCTTAGACAAGGATCCCATGTCAGATGGAGGCACTGGTCAGTCCCTCCCAGGTACTAGGAGGCTACACATCCACCTCCAGGCCACTCCACAAGGAGGCTAGGGTAGCCTGGGGACACCAGAGCCACTGAACTCATAGCTGCCACCTCCAGAATCCTCCTGCCCTCCCCTCAGCCCCCTTTCAGGCCAGTTCCACCAAATCCAGCTGGACATTCCCAAGGACATTCCCAGCACTCACCCACGTTGATGGCCCAGCCTCGTTCCACGGCCAGCTTCCCCGCCTTTAAAGACAAGCAGAGGGTGAGGGGCACAGGCAGCCGGTTCTCCACTCATTCATTCACTGATTCATAGACTCATTCCATAAACACTGCCTCTAGTCAGCTCTGGGTGAAGGATGAGCTACAAGGTAGGGGTGTGGAAAGAACTCCCTACCCCAAGCAACAGTCCAGGAGTGCAAGACTGACTGGCCTATGAGATGTACAGTGCACAGGCACCTTTGCAACTGTGCAAGGAAACTGGAAGAAATAAAAGTACTTATCGTCCATCACATATGAGCTGACAGTAATTCTGACGTGGCTTTCAAAGAGAAAGTAGCCAAAGTTTTGCTCATAGAAATATAGTAGACTGGACCGGGCACGGTGGCTCACGGCTGTAATCCCAACACTTTGGGAGGCCGAGGCAGGTGGATCATGAGGTCAGGAATTCAAGACCATCCTGGCCAACATGGTGAAACCCTGTCTCTAGTAAAAACAGAAAAATTAGCTGGAGATGATGGCGCATGCCTGTAGTCCCAGCTACTCAGGAGGCTGAGGCGAGAGAATCACTTGCACCTGGGAGGAGGAGGTTGCAGTGAGCCAAGATCGTGCCACTGCACTCCAGCCTGGGCGATAGAGTGAGACTGAAAGAATGAAGAAAAAGAAGAAAGAAAAGAAAAGACAAGAAAAGGAAAGGAAAGGAAAGGAAAGGAAAGGAAAGGAAAGGAAAGGAAAAAGGAAAGGAAAAAGGAAAGGAAAAAGGAAAGGAAAAAGGAAAGGAAAAAGGAAAGGAAAGGAAAGGAGGAAGGAAGGAAGGAAAGAAAGAAAGAGGGAGGGAAGGAAGGAAGGAAGGAAAGAAAAGAAAGAGAGAAAGAGAGAAATTTGGTGGGGTGCATTAGAGTCAGAGTGCTAGGATATCTGCTTTGGTGGGTGGAGAGAATTCTATGTCTCAAAAGGGAAAAAGGGCTTTTGGAGAAAGGGTCATTGTTGCTGAGCCTCGAGGAATATTTAAGATTCTGTTCAACTACTAAGTGGGAGGAAGGCATTCCAGGGCAAAGGAGGTGAGAAGGACCCAGGGGTAGGGGGGCTCCCAGCCCGGCCATGCCCCGTCCACCACCTACCATTATGGTTCCTCCTGTCTGGGTCCGAAGGGGCCTCAGCACCTTCCTCTGCACAAGGAAGTTGGGGAGAAAGATGACAGGGGGGATTTCTGTGATGGTGGCAACAGCAAAGGACCACTGCGGAAAAAGACACGGGCTGTTGGCCTTCGTTGCCCCGCCCGGAGGCAACCCGTGGGAAATCAGATCCCTGGGAAATGCCTTAAGGGCAGTTTCCAGGTGCCCTTGGGTGAACTCCCTGGTCAAGCACACTTCCTTTGGTAGAAATGAGAGCCAGAGCCACAACCCTACCAGTCTCCTGCCAAGCTTTGGGCTCAGAAAAGAGCAGTTTGGACCATGCATTTCTTAAAGGGTTTCTGAGGCCCTTGGCTGCCCTCTTGTGCCTAGAACAGGAGATGCAGAGGGCTTCAAGTCAGCAGTGCAGGCCTAGGACTGCTTTGGGAGAACAAGCTGGCCCAGACCACCCACTGTACAAAAGAGTAGTAGGGAGGCCCAGGCAGGGAGGATCTTCCCAAGGCCACACAGTGAGTCACTGACAGAGCCTGGACTGGAGCACTGGCCTCTTGCTCCCTTGCACTGCATTGCCTCTTCGTCCTCAGGAATCAGACCTTCCTGGCAAAAGAAATGCACTGCCCTCATCTCCAGCTGCTGAGGCTGGGGGGTCTACAGTACCTGAAAGGCATTTGCACTAAGACCAGGACAGAGTGTGTCCCGTGACCTCCAAGTCCACCAGGTAAACATCCATGGCACTGGCTGCCCAGCTGCACCCAAACCCCAAGCCATATCCTGGCTGAAAATGCATCCCTGCTCCCCACCCACCTGAGACAGAACCACTCATTTTGTAAATATTTACTAAGTGCCTGCTAGGTGCCCCAGGTAGGCACTGATGGGCCCATCCTCATGCCAGGACAGTTGCAGGCACTTACTTGCAGTGTGATGAGCGTGGTGATGAACTGGGTGGGGGTTAGAGAGGCTTTCTGGAGGAGGTGGCATCTGCAGGAGGTGAAGAGTGAATAGCAGTTATCTAGATGCAGAGGTCAAGGGAAAAAGGTGATTGTGGGCAGAGAAGTGAGTCCATGATCCAGAGGAGCGGGGGCGCAGGTGGAACAGGGCAGGCTGACCTTATAACACAGGGCCTAGTCTGCTAGCACAGGCTGGCACATTGTCATCAGAGCAGTAGGGAGCCATAGATGATGCTATCCCAAACTGCTCTAGCTGTAGCAAGAACCGATTAGGGGAATAAGAATAGAAGCAGCAGCCCCAGGGAGGAGGCGTGAGATAAGGAGGCTCTGGGTGGTAAGAAGAGCAGGTGTTAGCAGGCAACATGTGGGGACAGGGATGGAGGGCCCAGGTGTTGGGACCTGTGAGGGTAATGGTGCTCAGAGGTGAACCTGAAGCAGGGTACAGAGAAGGCACTAGGTTCTGCTCTCCATGGGCCAACTCAGCCTCTGGGGCAGCCAGGTGAGACAGCTGAGGTTTAAGTGAGGCTGGAGCTCAGAACAGGGGCAGGAGAGTGGGAGGTAAAGGGCTGGGTTGGGACTGCAGGACTCCCGTGCTGAAGGGTAAGGCCCAGACAGAGAGCCCCTGGGAATAATTGAGGGCTTCCCTGGGACAGGGTGAGGCGTGGAAAGACCTGAGGTACGGTGCTCAGGAGGCCAGAGGGAGAGAGGGTGGCTGGAAGGAGCGGATGGAGGGAGGCACCAAAGCCGCCGAGACATTTCATGAGAGGGAAGTGGGAAGTGTGGCCACGGCATTCATCAACTAGGAGGAGGAGTTTTAGAATGGGAGACCCGAGCATGTTTAATGGTGGAGAGCAGGCAGCAGGGAGGGAGACGGTGGCCAGGGATGGTGTGATGGCAGAGGGGGGATGAACCTCGGGAGGGCCAGGAGGTGCCAGAGCCAGGCCACTCGGAACCAGGCAGGAAGCAGGACACACCCTAGGTCAGGCCCCAGGAGGGGCCTCAGGGATTAGGCCCTGGCCACCAGGGCAGACTTTCTGTTGTGGTGCTGAGGAATGCCTGTGGCCACCAGCCCAGGCTGGCAAGGGCGGCTGAAGGCTAGGGAAGCTAGCATCACTCCCTCACTCTGGTGGAGAAACCAGTGAGCAGGGTCCCATTTGTGGTCCAGAGGGAGAGGTACCCATGGGGCACCACTTCCACAAGCCCAGGCCCTCCGGCTATAACATGGAGGCATCGTGGGGCCTGGGAAGGGGTGGCAGTTTAAGAGCGGGGACCAGGATGGCCAGACAGCTGCAGGACACACCCATGTGTGTGTGTATGTGTGTACACAGGTATGTGCATGTGCATGTATGCATGTGTGTGTGGTACGGGACAGACCCAGAGAAAAGAAGGTCCCTGCCCGAGGTCATCAGCTCCTCTTGCTCACCACACCCATCCCACTGCCCAGCACAGCGCATGGAACCATGGTTTTCCATGAATGAATGAGCAAACAAATGAGCCACTGCAGGAGCACATGGAGTCACGGCCTCCCTCCCTCCCTGGGGAAGCCAGCAGGGGACAGACTGGAAGACAATGAAGCCTAGAGGTGCATCATGGACACAAACCACGAGAAAGGCATCCACTCGAATGCTCCACAGCTACGGGTCTCGCACACCACTCCTGGAGAAGGCTCCCACCGGCGAGTCATTTGAGAAGCCCGGCTTATGATGCCTGCCTCCTGGAGATTCGCAGCACACCCTGGCATGCTAAAGGCTCGGAGAAGTTCCGCAGCAAACAATCCTCTCTAACTTTGCTCCCCCCAGGATTTCCCACACCCTCTGACCAGTGTCAGAAAGTCTGCCTGCCCTCTTTGCTTTTTAAGTCACACACACTAACCTTCTGCAAAGCTGCGTGGTATGGGACACACTTGGGAACCTCAAAGAGGTTCCTTGGTATCCTCCACAGACTGTGCCTGACCAAGGGCCAGGCGCAGTCTGTGGAGGATACCAAGGAACCAGCGGCCAGGTGCAGCCATGCAGGAGCATGTGTGAGACTTGGCCAGTGGGACCAGCCCCTACAGGAGAAAGTACGTGTGTTTGCTGTGCCACTGTTTCTGGGGGATGAGCCCCTCGGGGGAGCAGCAGCTTTGGGCAGCAAAGAGGAGGCTGGCACTTGGGCCTTCTCCTGGTCAGCAGTGGTTTCTGCACAAGGCAGTGATGTGGCTAACAACACCCTAGACTGGAACCATCCAATCCCATCAGCCACAGCTGGCTACTTACGAATGATCGTAAATTCATCAATATTTTTAAAAATCCAAGTTTTGTTCCTCAGTGACACTCTCCATATTTCAATATCCGTGTGTGGCCAGTGGCAACTGGATGGCACAGAGCAGGCCTGAGCATTTCCATCACTACGGAAGGTTCCACAGGGCGGCACTGCTCTAGAAAAGCCACCCATCAGTGGCTGAGGTGAGAAATAAACAGATCAGGCGGGGCAGACTAGTGGCGAGGCCCTGGGTGAGGGGAGAAGAGAAAAGAGGGACTTGACTAGAGCAGGCTCTGTGTGGTCAGAGATGGCGGCAGGTAGGAGGGGGCTCAGGGCACCACCAGGTGACATCTGGACATTCACTTTCTGACCAACTGTTGGTCAGAAAGTGAATCTTCCAAACCAGTATCTGTGCCTAGCTGCTCACTCTACCCACTCCCCACTGCCTGCATCTCTTGCAGGTTTCACCTAAAATCGCCTGCACCATTTCAGATTCTGCTTCGAAAGACGTGGTCCTCAGACCAGCAGCATCCACAACACTTGTTCCAGCCATCTGCTGGAACAAGCCCTCCAGGTGTTTTGGACACTTGCTTGTGTTTGACAGCCACCATTCTAGGGAACCTAACCTAAGACAGTGCTGGGTGAATGAATACACTATGTGAGCATGGGAGGTCTGCCCCAGACTGATGCCACCATGTGCCAAAGGGCATGGCCTGCATCTGACCAGGTATCAGGGCCTCCATACTTCGTTAGCCTCTAAGGGACACCACAGAGAGCAGGACATCCCTGGGGCTGGCCACACCTCTGGGACCTAATGCCCCATCCACTTAGCTCCATAAGCTTCCACCTTCCAGACGCCTGGTTTCCTCAGGCAGACTCCCTACCCTCAGAGGTTTAAACCAAGAACTGTTGTCAGGGAAGAGATAGGCTGCAACCTCCCTAGGGCCCCCACTGCTTGTTTTACGTGGGTCCTTTCTACCAGTAGAAGGGAGCAAAAGCAGAGAAAGGGAAAACATGATCTCTCAGCTGATACACAAAAAGCCTTTGACAAAATTCAACAGCCTTTCATGATAAAACCACTCAACAAACTAACAACAGGAGGGAACTCCCTCAGCATGATAAAAGGCATTTAAAAAGGTAACCCCACAGCTGACATTATATTCAACCGTGAAAGACTGAAAGCCTTCTGTCTAAGATCAGGAGCAAGACAAGGATGGCTGCTTCACTACTGCTATTCAACATAGTACTGGAAGTTCCAATCAGAAAAATCAGACAAGAAAAAGAAATAGAGGGTATCCAAACTGGAAAGGAAGCTATCTCTATTCACAAATAGTATGATGTTATACACAGAGGAGCCTAAAGAATACACACACACACACACACACACACACCCCTATTAAAGCTAAGAAACAGGCCAGGTACAGTGGCTCACACCTGTAAGCCCAGCACTTTAGGAGGCCAAAGTGGGCAGATCACGAGGTCAAGAGATCAAGACCATCCTGGCCAACACAATGAAACCCTATCTCTACTAAAAACACAAAAATTAGCTGGGCATGGGGGTGTGTGCCTGTAGTCCTAGCTACTCGGGAGGCTGAGGCAAAAGAATCACTTGAACCCAGGAGGCAGAGGTGGCAGTGAGCCAAGATCGTGCCACTGCACTCCAGCCTGGAGACAGAGCAAGACTCCGTCTCAAAAAAAAAAAAAAAAAAACAGCTAAGAAACAAATTCAGCAAAGTTGAATGTTACAAGATCAACACATAAAAATTAGTTGTATTTCCATACAACTGATTATTGTATATACCAGCAATGAACAATCTTAAGGGGAAATTAAAACAATTTCATTTATAATAACATCAAAAAGAATAAAATGCATGGGAATAGATTTAGCCAAGAGGTGCAAGATCCCATGCTCATGGA